GGCCGACAGTTCTTTGACCACCAAGAATCGGACCACCATGTGGCGGCCCTCCCCTTTCTCCCCCAGGCGGATAGGCAGGTCCACCCGTCCAACTGGGTGTACGACTCCTCCTCCAAATCCCACTAAAGGATGGGAGACCGGGTGTATGCTATCCGGCTTGTATTTGAGTTTTGCCAAGCACTTGTTGCTGATGAGATCAGATGAACTCCCGGTATCTATGAGAATCCAGCCAACTCTCTGGTTGGCCACCTTGCATTCAATTACAATGGGGTCGTCATGCGGCCCCCTGATTCCCCCGAAGTCTTCCTTAGTGATAATAACTTCTGGAAATGAACTTCTGGAGATCCGTCCCTGGTCGACGGAGTTAACATCTAGACGCCTGATGTTGTCTTTGTTGCCCCGGATAGTTGGGCCTCCTGCTGCGAAGCCGCCTGCTATTGTATAGACTAGCGCTTCGTCAGTATCGGAGCTTTCAGCAGGTGTCGCCTTCTTCCGGTCCGCCTGTTTCTATTTGGGGTGTTGGGTACCCTTTGATTTCTTGACATAGGAGTTGAGTTCTCCTTTGTCTGCCAGGCGGTCCAAGAGGCGCTTGAGACTGATGCACTCATTGGTGTCATGACCAATGTCCTCATGGTAATAGCAATATTTATCTTTGTTCCGATTGTTGACAGAACTCTTCATGGCGTCCGGCTTCTCAATTGAGAGTCGGTCCTTGATTTCTTTGAGGATGGCATAGTTATCCTTGTTAAATTCATACTTAGGGGAGTATGTCTTAAACTCCTTCTTCTTCTTCTTCTGGGACGACTGCTCAGAGGAGTCGGCCGCCCAGACTTCTTTTCTCTTTTTCTCTTCTTTATTGGCCGACTGCTTTGGCCGGCTCTCTCTTTTGTCGGACTTTTTGTGGTCCGAATGTTTTCCAACATTACTGAGGTTAGTCGCCTGAATGTAGGCGTCCGCCTCCATCATTGCTTCTTGGAGGGTGGTCACCCTCTTTCTGACGAGGTCGAATTTGAAGTTCGACCCGTCCTTCAGACCTTTGAAAAAGTCTGTATAAGCTACTTCATCAGCTAGTACTTGTATCTGAAATCTCATCAGATTGAACCTCTTGATGTAAGAGCGCGGTCCCTCCTTCTCTCCCTGTTGTATGGCCCCCAGATCAAGGGTGGTCTTCTTAGCAGGAATGTTCATTGCGAAGTTTGAAATGAACAAGTAGGCGAGGGTCTTGAAATTGTTAATACACCCGGCCGACAAGTTGTCAAACCATTGCTGGGCGACGCCCTTCAATGTGGCTGGGAAACACTTGCACCATGTGGCGTCATCCAACCCTTTGAGGTACATAAGGTTGGTGTATGCCATCATGTGATCTTCTGGGTTGGTAGTGCCATCATATGCCCCTACCAACACATTTTTTACTTTGGCCGGCTGGGCGGCCTCTTTTTTTCTTTAGAGAAGGCGGATGGTTATTCTCCAAGTTTGAGCAACCTAAGTTGCCAGTCCAAAGGCTGGACATTCCTTGCCGCCTGTCCTCCAAAAAGAGTAGGCTGCATGAAATATTGGGACTGCGGGACGTATGGTTGAGGAGGCACATACGGAACCAGAACGAAAGGAGGCTCCGGGCATCTGGCTCTCTTAGTTTGATTTTGAATACCTCATGGAGGTATTATGTAGGCTGTTCTGAAAATCAGACGTAGAGGCCGACTTTGACAGTCGGTCACTCTTCTTTTGCTCAAGCAACATTCGAGCATTAGAGTATGTTCTCTTCGACCCATCCGGCTGAACATGACGGATGGGCTTTCTCTTCCCTGGTGAGGGAAAGTGGTACTTAGTTAGGTCGATCACTGGTGGCTCCCTCTCCCTAGGCTTAGGGTAAGGAGTCGCCTCCCAATCCTTTACAAGATTCTTCCTCCCAGATTGGGAGGGTCTTCTGGCCGACTATTCCTTTGGTGGAACGGTCGTCCTTTTGTTGATAAGCTCTTGGATCTCCCCCTTGAAACTATTCATGAAGGTCATGAGTTCGTTTCTGGTAATGGGGGAAGATCCCTCGGCCGCCTGTTGATGATCAAGCGGCTGGCCGGATGGTTTACTAGATCCAGCCTGGAAGTCCTCCCATTCCCTCCTTTCGGTGGGACTGGTGCGTCGAGCTCTTAAGGTCCCGTCAGAGGCCGTATGAGTCTCGACTTCAATTTCATTGTCAGTATCCTGGTCCGTCTGAACCAGGGGGTCGTCCATGGGACGCTTCTCACTTAGAATCGGTACAGACTGTGATTCCATCTCGAAAGTACTCTCCCCACAGATGGCGCCAAAATGTTTCGGGATTTTTTGATGTCCTGCGGGAGAGTTACAATTCCGGAACTGGATCCGTGCGCCTGTACCTACAAAACAAACGGAGACTCCGGGTGGTGGGAGCTCCACCTCCGACGATCAAGTTAGTACTTGTATGTGGAGTAAAGAGTGCGGAAAAGTAAAGGTGATCTGGTTCCTCTAGGGGGAGGAGTGATCAAGGTGTGCAATTAATTGCTAAGTCAGGTCTAGCAGTCAGAATGTACGTAGGTTTAGGCTTCTCTTGGTGAGATGATTATTTAGTTCTGCATGTGTTTAATGGAGGCTAATTACCAATTTATATAGCCTCGAAGTACGTGTCCGATACTAGGTTAAATGGTAAACCTAGGACTGATTGGGCTTGCCTAGGGATTCGGGCCTGTGATGGCCGTTTTCCAGGTTGGCAAATAATGGGCCACGTGGCGTGGCATGATTGGTCCATGCTGGACCTTTTGAAGCATGACACGTGGCAGCCCCTGAATGGTCCACGTGGCTAACACGTGGCAGGTGCTGATTGGTCCACGTGGCGGGGAAAAATCCCCTAAACAATAATAATAATAATAATAATAATAATAATAATAATAATAATAATAATAATAATAATAATAATAATAATAATAATAATAATAATAATAATAATAATAATAATAATAATAATAATAATAATAATAATAATAATAATAATAATAAAGATTTAATAATAATAATAATAATGATAATAATTAATATTTAATAATAATAATATATAATATTTAATAATAGTAATAATTAATATTTAATAATAATTAAAATTTAATAATAATAATAATGATAATAATTAATATTGACGAGGCTCTTCGATTTTCCTTGGAGCGTATCTTTGCTGCTTCAGGGCCTGGGCTTGGCGATTGGCAGTGGCGGCTTGCCACCTTGCCTTTTGCGTATGGCTGGCTAGGTGTTTATTCCGCAGGTGATGTTCGTCATTATGCTTTTCTTGCTTCGCGGTTGTAGTCTGCTGGGTTGCAGACAAGGCTTCTACGACATGCTGACGTATTTGGCCTTGGTCGAGCCTTTGAGGATGCGTTGAGCTTGTTCAATAGAACGGTGGACTATGACATTTTGAGTAATCCTAGTAAGGTCGCTGCCCCTAAACTCATGAAGAAATTGGCAAATATATATTTCACAAAGGTTACCGATTCTGCAGAATCCACCTTCTCTTTGTCTCCTCGTCAATCAGCATTGTGGAAATCGCAGCAGGGAGATCACACCTCTTCTTGACTTCGTGCGGTTCCTATTTCGGGGTTGGGTCAGACGATGAACGCAAAGACTTACCGATGTGTGTTGTGCTATGTTTCATTGTTCTCTGTCTCGACGTCGTGCTCTGCTTGTTCAAGGGTTTTTACTGGGGATTTTTTCGGTGATCACGCGGTGTCGTGTGCTGGTATAGTGGGTATTAAACATCAGCATAATGTTGTGCGAGATACCCTTGTTGATGTTTGTTATCGATTTGGGATTTCAGCTAGAAAGGAGGTTGACATTGGGTTATCTGGAGGGAACGACGGGGCCCTTAGACCTGCAGATGTGTTGCTTTATTCTTGGGATCGTGGTCGCAATGTCTGTGTTGACTTGACAGGGTCTTTTCCTTTGACACAGTCTGGGTTATCTGACTTTGTTTTGGACGAGTTGTGGCTGATGCTGCTCATCGGAAGTGGGTCAAGTACGAATTTAGTTGTCGGGCAATTGGATATGGTTTCCTTCCTTTCTCTTTCTCTACACTTGGGGAATTAGAGAAGGAGGCGGTTGCATTGGTGAAGCAGATCCAGAAGTTCTCGAAGACTCAAGACATTGGGGCACGTGCTGCTACCCATATCTTCACTAGAATAGGATTTGCTATAGCCAGAGGAGTGGAGGCCCAGATTGTTTCTCAGCTCCCCACTAATTTTTTGTAAATTGTATGACTTTGTCTTTTTTGAGATAATAATAATAATAATAATAATAATAATAATAATAATAATAATAATAATAATAATAATAATAATAATAATAATAATAATAATGCTGAAATCTGCTTTGCTCTGTTGAAATCTGCTGATCCCTACTCGGCTGCCCCTCAAAAGAACAGAGCCTAAATGCATCTAGTGAAAGTTTAACAGTACCTTTTTATTTTTAGGAAATTGAAAGTTTAATACTACCTCCGTAAACGGTTATGTGCAACAATGGTACCGTTCACGGAGGCCTAGGCAAAACTTTTAGTGGGTTGTTTAAAGTGAGTAATTGCTTAAAGTACAAAGTGATTAAAACTAGGAAAAGGGGTCCCGGTTTTTTAAAAGGAGGAGAGAGAGGCTGCCAAATTTTGGGGCCAAAATTTTCCCACCAAAATTTTGGGCCTCCTCTTAAAAATTTCAAAATTCACCCAAATTTTTTCCCTCTTACTTAAATTTGCTGGCAAATAAAAGGGGGTATATAAACCACCTGCCAGACATTGTTACTTAGTACAAGCATTCATAACAAACATTCCAAATGTTTTTCCAAATTACAGCATTCAATGTTCACAAAAGTTAGAGCTTAATTTTCTACCTAAACCTAATTACTCTTACGTCATTAGCAGTGGATTAGCAGCAAATCAGCACAGCTCTTCAAAATTGGCCCACTTCATAAGCAGTCCTGCAATCTGGGAACTCAGATAAATTAGCAAAGGCAACATGGCAGAAAATTCAAGTGATGAATTTTTCAGCATTTACCAAATGCTCAATGATGAAAGCAGCATGGAACATAGTCAGACAAGCAGCATGGAAGGGGCTCAGTACCAGGACAACACTGGTCCAGATGATGAAGCAATCCAGCAACCAACAAGCAGAAAACAGCTCACAGTTTCCAAGAAAAGGGAAATTGTAGATGAGTATCTACTGAAGCTACAGGGGGGGGAAATACCAAGGGGTTTTGTTTCACAGACAGCCAGGAAATTCAATGTGCATAGGTGCACTATTCTCATATTATTCAAAGACATCAAAGCCCAAATGGAAGTGGGGAATGCCATAGATGTCAGAAGCAAGAAACTTGGAAAAACAGGACCAAAACCAACAGAGTACACAGATGAATTTTTGCAGTCTGCCCCACTATATAAAAGGACCACTGAGAGAAGCTATGGGGCTGCTCTTAACATTTCACATAAAACCATCCATAAATTAAAGAAAAAGGGGAGGCTGAGAAAACATACTAGCACCAATCATCCAGCATTAACATCCAACCACAAAATAGCAAGACTCCAATGGGTTTTAAGGCATCTGCTGCCTGCTACTCAAAATGAGGACCCATACTTTGTTGACATGCAGCAGGTAGTGCACATAGATGAGAAGTGGTTCTACTTGAACCCAGACACAAGAACATTCTACCTATTGCCAAATGAACCAAACCCCTACAGGTGCCAACAGTCCAAGAGGTTCAAGGTCAAAGGCATGTTCATGGCAGCCATAGGGAAGCCAATCTTTGACAACCAAGGAGGAGTCATACATGATGGGAAATATGGAATTTTCCCTTTTGTTTATGAAAGCACAGCAAAGAAAAAAAGCAAAAACAGAGAAGCCGGGGCAGTGGAAGTGAAGGCTACACAGAATGTTAACAAGGAGGCCATAAGGGAAATGCTTTTAACTAAAGTAATTCCAGCCATTAAAAGTAAATGGCCAGGCCATGTATCTAAGGATATATGGATTCAGTGGGATAATGCCAGACCACACCAAATTCCTAGGGGTGTTGAATTTCATGAAGCATGTCACTCAAATGGTTTCAACATACAGTTCATTTATCAACCAGCTCAATCCCCAGATTTAAATGTCTTAGATTTAGGGTTGTTTAATGTGATACAATCAATAAAATACCAATCATTTCCTAGAAATCTAAAGGAACTCATAGAGAAGGTAACAGAGTCTTATGAGTTGTTCAACCCAGTGTTGAACAAACGTTGTTGGATAACTTTACAATGTTGTATGGAAGAGATACTGAAGGACCAAGGGGGGAATAACTTCAGCCCACCACACAAAGGGAAGAAAAGACTAGAAAGACTGGGCATGCTACCTGAAGTGCTACAAGTGGACAGAGGTTTGGTTCAACAAACTGTTGAATACCTCAACACCATTTTCATTCCAACAGGTGAAGTGAATCAGGAAGACGAAGGCATGCAGGTGGATGCAGACTAAACAGAAGTGAATCAAAGTAGCAAGGACCAAGTCAGACTACCACACATAACCATTGAATGCAAGGTAGTTTATTTTGATTTTTATATGGGACTCTATGGTTAGGTGTATTTTGTTATCAAAACCATGTTTATTGTGAATGTAAGGCAGTCAAGACTACTATCCTTGAAAGATGTAAAAGCTTTTGATAAATTTTATAACTTCATTTGTGTCTTGTTTAAATCATTTCTATGTAGTGGTAAGTAAATGACATGAACTATGATGCACACACTCACAACTGAGTCCATCAGAGGGTTATGATATTTCACAGAAATTGCATAAGTGGTTACCTCAACAACAACTTACAATGGAAGTTGTTGGAGCAAGACCAACTTATGAATTTTATGCATCAAATGAGTCCCTTCATCATTTGGATCTCTCAACCACACAAACAATAGTTTGGGACTCCTACTACATTTGGGCACAGACAGCTCACAGGGGGACTCAAAGAGGGAGATACTGAAGTGCATGAATGCAACAACACTTCCAACAGAAGAAGCATCACCCACATAACAACAACACCATGCCCATCATAACACAAACCAGTGTACACACAAACCAGGGGACACACAATTTGACAAAACTATTAAATTATACTCATTGGCAAGATCAGCAGCATTACCCAAAAATCAACAGCACCAACACACACATAGCAGAAATCAGGTAAAACAACATATACCCAACAACATGCAACAACCATATGATTGAAGTTCTCAATTTCAAAATAAAAAAGCATGAAACAAGCCATCCAGAGCAGGAGTAAGCCATCCACAGCAGGAGTAACAACAATAAATTAGCAACATACAACAATAACTACTAAAAATTCCCATACAACAATTATCAACCAACACAGGCTTGTAATCATACCCACAACACAAATCACAGACTGAAATTAAATATGATGAACACATAAAAACATAGATTGAAGGGTTAGAACATTGTTACGCTGGTGAATTAGGAACAGGCTTAGGTGGAAGGGTTGCTAACCCCACCCATATCAACAGCACCATCATTAGGGGACTTAGCACACTCCCTTTTTCGGCCAGACAAGATTTGGGTAGATCTACCCACAACAACCACCTCTGATGTGGTTTTCGCCGGCGACAGGGCTGCAGAAGGGGTTTCAGAACCATCGCCCTTCACAACATCAAGATCAGGAGCCTCTTTGCTCGAAACCTCACCCTTTTTGCCCAGATCTGAAGCATTAGACCCAACACGTTCATCATCAGACTCGTATGGGGTAAGCTTTAAACCCCCACCATACTTACGCTTCATATCCAGGTACGTAGCCATACGCGTACCAATTAGCCTCATCTTCCCAGTTCGTCGCTGACATTTGTAGGTCGCAACAACATCCAGATCTTGTTTTTTCTCGTTTGGGGAACTCATGATTTTAGGGTTTTGACAGAAAGATGTAGATGAGCACACAGATCTCGCAATTTTAGGGTTTCTACCAAGAGAGAGAAAGAGGGAATCAGGATAAGAGAGAGAATGAGGTTCGCACGAACGAAACGACACCAGATGCAAAGTGAAGGCTTCCAGAACATTTTCCAGAAGTTAAAGGGCGTCATTAATGGAGGTTGTTGAAGGTTCATTAAAGAGGGTGGGTGAGGAGATGAAGTGAATGTGATGGGAAATGAGGTGAGTGAGGGATTTTTGGTGGGAATCATTAGGGTAGATTGATTGTTTATAGGGATAAGTAATAAGATTAGGAAAGTAGGTTAAGTTATAATCAGTTTTTTTAAAGGGCATTTTCGTAATTTCACATGTTAAAATTTTACTTAAAATGGAAAAAAATCAGTTTGTTGCACATAATATGAAGCGCCTACTTTTGGTAAATGTTGCAGATAACCGTTTACGGAGGTAGTAGTTACTTTAGGAAAATACATGCATAGTTTCGTATTCATTTGTAATTGGTTTTTCGTCTTATACCTCAACCTGTTATTGGCCTACACTAACCCTGATCGTACATGTCGAATAATCAGGTCTAGTTTCCCCACATACTCCACCACCCACTTTTTGTTTTCAATCCATATCATTATGGATCGTTGTATTCTGTTTGGAAAATGTATTTACAAGTATGTATACACTAGATTTATAGAAATATGTGTATCGACAATAAAAAATTATCTTAAAAACCTTATTTACACAATATATCGATCGTTTGTTCTTAACCTCCTATTTTTTTGCATTCTTACTATGACTACGAACATCAATATGAAACGAAAAGAATAATTATAATACATATCAAGTAGTTTCTTTATAATCACTACGTACATAATAGTCTACTAGACGTGATGGATCGACAGTTCAATAGTCGTATGTAAATAGTACTTAACTAGGCAGGGCTTGACTGAACATTATCATTAAAGTAATTTATAATATATATCAAGTTCTAACTTTATAGACATATTGTATACAAGTGTACATTTGTTGACTATATATAGCTTACTTTAATGAAAATAGTTGTATAACCTAAGCTTTTCTCTAAACTTACTCAATTCAAAACGTAAGCTAGAGCAAGATTAATTAAAAGAAAAGAAAGAAAATTATGGAAGGAAAAAACATTGCAGTATGTGTAATTGCTGGTGTTCTTGGTTGAATAGCAGTTGTTATGGGCTTTGTTGCCGAGGCTACCAAGGTTAAGGTAATACGTGTTCCTATCTCCAATATATATGTCGTCTTATTGATAATTTGATATAATATAAGTAACGTTTTATTTTGTTCACTTCATTTTTCTTCTTACTTTCACACCAATAGACCTAATTTTATGGGTCATAATATTTGAAACTTATACTTGTAAAAATAATGTCACTTTATTAATATAATCTTATGTAAATTTGATTGAGTTTAAGTAATCTAGTTTTTTCAATAAAATTCATTATCTTATACTTATACTCGTACTTTGTATTATGTACTCCGTATTAATGTATTATAAATAATGTATACTCGTATTATTGTAGGGTGATCAAGTACTATTTACAGAAGATGGGGCTTGTTTTTATCCAACGAGTCCATCGGTGGCACTGGGAATAGTTGCTTCAATAATTCTTTTGATTCAGCAAATACTTATAAGTGGTGCATCTGGCTGTTTTTGTTGCAGAGGAAATCCTTATCCTTCAACTTGTAGTGGCATAACAGCCACTGGCGGAGCCAGGATTTTCAAATTGGGGGGACAAATTATGGATATAATATAAAAGCGAAGACAGTTGCATTATAATGTATTTAATCCTGATATACCAAAGCACCAACAAGAATAGAAGTATAAGCAATCACATGATAATGCACTAACAGGATTATAAGCAAAGGATATCACAAAATCTAAAGTGTTGCACATAATGACACTTAATCAACAAAAACATAATAAAAGCAGAACCAAATATACTTGCCTAATGGAAGTCCATTTAATATGGGCAGCTCCCAAAGATTGTGTTTGTACATAAAAATGGCTAAATGTTGCTCCTTCACCGATGATCACCTCAAGAACATAATTAGTCTAATAACACTTGTTACCATCTCCACCTAAAAACACCTCAACTATACCCACCTCTCCTCCCTTCTATCAACACCAATACTCTCGGGTTCGAAACCGGCAACATTTTCGACTCGGCATCACTCCCTTTCAGTGAGAAAGACCTCAAATTTAAAGGGCCATCAACTCGGCACCCTTCAGGCACATAAATAAAGATCAAATCAGGAGCACCAACCCCATTTAAAGACCAAAACAAATCCCCTTCAATATTTGACACAAATTCCGATACCCTTTTCAGAATATATAGCCTCAGAAAATAAGTAAAGTATGGGGAGAAAGAAAGGGTTATTGGGTTAACAATTAAAATTGTAAATTGGGGATTTCAAATTTTCAATTAGAAGAACAAATTAATATATTTAAGAGTTAAGACATACCTTTAGATGCAGCGAAGACCAGAAGATGACCGAGGCGGCGACTGGCGACTGACGGACGACCGACGACGATGAGGGGTTTGGCAGGCAGCGACCGAGCGACAGACAGGACTTTGGTTTTTTAATTTTGGTGACTGTCGAACGGAATTGAAGGCTGTCCGCTGTGCGCCGTCGTCTGTTGAACCTCGTCATTGGCCTCACTGCTGCGAACTGCCGGAGAACGGTGGACAGCGTCAGGCGACTCTGGCGAGGTGAGGGCGAATCGAAGAGAGAGAAATTAAAAATTGAAAGACTTAGGGTTTGGCTGCAAATGTCGCACAGAGCACTCTGTAATTGCGTTTTTTTGTTTTTTTTTTAAAATTTTTTTTTTTTAATTTTTTTTTTTTTTGAAAATGGGGGGACAAGTGTCCCCACTCGTCCCCTTCTAGCTCCGCCCCTGAAATTAACAGCTCTTATTTGCTTTATTTTCTCTTGGTAAGTAACTAATCATTACTCGTGTCGTCACGATAATCTATTACGTACTCCCTCCATTTAAACATAAATCGTCCCGGTTGAATTTTTACAGTTTTTGATACAATTATACGGAGTATTTGTTCTTCTTATTTAGAATTTTATGTGAGATAAAAAAAAGTTAAATTGGAAAAAATAAAAAAGCTCGAGAGAATATTATTTTGTCTATTTAAAACTTTAATGACAAATAATGTTATAAAATTTAATATTTTAAAATCACAAAAAATCATATACAAAGTATAGATTAAATTACTTGACCTCGAATATCGAAATATAATGTAAATTCATAAAATTATGCAGGTTGGTCTTCATTGGAGCATTTGTAATGCTGATGTATGCGGCCATTATCAACACCACTAAGTACCTTGTAGATACGACCAACACTCTCGACGAGGGTTGCCTCGTTCCGAAATCCGGCTTCTTCATTGCGGCGGGGGTATTGAGCATAATCAGCATCGCCCTCGGCCTCGTTGCTTACATAGTCTTGATTTCTAGCGACAAAAAGATTATTCCAAAGGGTGGTGCTTCAAATGTTGCAAGTGAGTATGGTA